CCTCACCTCACAGTGTGCAAACAGGCCTGGGCTTTCAATGACTGACAGAAGATAAGGCAGCGGAAGATCCCACCACCCTGAGGGGCTGCCTTGTGGTGGGGCAAGGAGTCAGGCCTGAGACTTTGGACCTGCTGTTCTTGCGGCAGCAGAGGTGGTGGCAGAGAGGGGAAGAGGCAACCAGGAAAAAAGAAACACGTTGGCCTTATTTTCTTTTTTCTCCCTCTTCTCACATTTCTACAGTTAAAATTTCTACAGTCAAAATTTCTACAGTTAAAGTTATTTGTCTCTTTGTTAAGTTATGCCACTCTTTTATTATATCCCCATTTACAGTCCTGTTATTAACTTGTAGATATTTTTCATTTGGGGGTAACTAGAGAAACAAAAGCTAGCATGGTATGCACTAGTCTGTGAAGCTCATGTTAAATAGGTAGGCTTGGGAGAAATAGAATTAGAGAGGGGTTGTCCTGTGGATTCTAATTACTTGTACCTTTCATATTTCTCCTAAAAGACTGGCAACAGTCACACACCTAGTTTTTATGCTCCAGACACATGCTGTCCAATACAATAGCCACAAACCACGTGTAGCTATTATATTTAAGTTAATTATAATGAAAAATTTAGTTTCTCAGTTGTACCGCACACAATGCAAGTGCTCAAGTCACATGTGGCTTTTGCTTACCATGTTGGTCAAAAAAGATACAGAACATTTTGTCATCATAGAAGTTTCTGTTGAACACCTTTAATTATAAACCTTGTTAACCATAGAAGGAATCCTCTTAGCCTTTCCATGTCATCTTCTACATCCCGTGTGAGACCGTGAGCAGGAATGGGGTTTTGTCACCTCTAAACCCCAGCTGCTACTCTGGGGCCCTGCAAGAGAAGGCCATCCACAAATATTTGCCAGATTATATGAGTGATCCCTTCTCTTTGCTCCCAAAACATCTACCTACCTTGGTCACAACACTTTAACACACTCCGCCCCCCTCCCCCCAAAAAAGTTTGTGTGGGGTTGGGTTTTTTTTTTGAGCTTCCACTCAGACTCTAATCTCCTTTTGGTTTATTTATTTATTTTTAAAGATTTTATTTATTTGTTTTTAGAAAGAGGGGAAGGAAGGGAGAGAGAGAGGGAGAGAAACATCGATGTGATGTGCAAGAGATACATCCATTGGTTGCCTCTCAGCATGCCTCAACAGGGGGCGTGGCCTGCAACCCAGGCATGTGCCCTGACTGGGAACTGAACCGGCAACCTTTTGGTTTGCAGACCCTCCCTCATTCCATTGAGCCACACCATCCAGGGCTTACTGTTGGTTTTCTTTTTAACTGAGATCTATTTGACATGTATTAGTTTCAGATGCACAACATAATGATTTCATATTTGTATACATTGCAAAATAATCACCACAATAAGTATAGTTCATATCCCTCACCATATAGAAATTAAAAATCGTTTTCTTATGATGAAAACTTTTAGGACCTACTCTTTTAGCAACTTTCAAATATACAATACAATGTTATTAACTGTAGTCCCCGTGCCGTATATTACGTCCCCATGGCTTATTCATTTTATAACTAGGAGTTTGTACCTACTGACCACATTCACCCATCGTGCCCACTCCCCACCCCTTGCCTTTGGCAACCACTTATCTGTTCTCTGTATCTATGACTTGTTTTTTTTGTATATTCCACATTTAAATGAGATTATATAGTATTTGTCTTTCTCTATTTGACTTACTTCATTTAGCATAATGTCCTCTGGGTCCATCCATATTGTCATAAATGGCAAATTGCTTTCTTTTTTTATGGATGAATGCCCATATTTTGCTGTGTGTAATGTGTACCCATGTTTTGGGTCCAAACTTTCAGGAAAAAAATACTTCATTTTAATTTTTTAACTCAATTATTTTTTATTTATATTTAGATACCTGTTTTTTTGTGTGTGTTATAAAGGAATTTTAGCATTTATTTTTTAACATATTGTGGTACAAGAAATTTTAGGTAACAAATAATTACAAAATGCAAGAACATATACAAGGTATTTCAGGTACTACCCGTGTATAATATGTAATCTTATTTTTCCCTCAAAAATTTGGGCAAAAAGTACACATCATACATGGCAAAATATGGTAATATTTCATTGTGTATATATACCACAATTTTTGTATCCATTCATCCATTAATGGATACTTAGGTTGCCTCCATGTCTTGGCTATTTTAAATAATACTGCAGTGAACATGGAGATGCATGTATCTTTTCCCATTAGTGTTTTTCTTTCCTTTGGATAAATTCCTAGAAGTGGTATTGCAGGATCATATGATAGTTCTATTTTGTTAATTTTTTGAGACACCTCCATTCTGTTTTCCAGAGTGGCTATATCAATTTGCATTCCCACCAACAGTGCACAAGGGTTTCCTTTATTCCACATCCTCTCCAACACCTGTATTTCTTGTCTTTTTGATAATAGCCATTCTAACAGGTGTAAGGTGATGTCTTATTGTAGTTTTGATTTGCATTTCCATGATTACTGGTGATATTGAGCACCTCTGATGCATGCACCTGTTAATCATCTGAACATCTTTTTTGGAAAAATGCCTATTCAGATCCCCTTGCCCATTTTTAAAGTCAGTTTGTTTGTTTTGGCTATTGAGTTATATGAGTTCCTTATATTTTTTAAATAGTACTTCTTTATCAGACACATGATTTGCAACTTTTCCCTCATTCATTAGGTTGTCTTTTTGTTTTGTTAGTGGTTTTCTTCGCTGTGCAGAAGCTTTTTAGTTGACATGGTCCCACTTGTTTATTTTTGCTTGTGTTGGCCTTGCTTTTGGTGTCTTATTGGTTCTTACTGATTTGAAAAGTAATACAGAAAAACTGAGAAAAGGTAATAAAAATTAACAGGTAATACTCCCACCTATAGACAGCTACCCTTAATGTTCGCAAGTATTTTTATCCACTTATTTAACAAATAGATATTTTAATTGTTTAGCGAAATATAACATGAGATATATACTGAGGTATAATTTGCTACAGTAAAAGTTCACCATTTTTATATGACATATGTATAGTGTATGATGAATGTAATCACCACCACAGTGAAGGCGCAGAATGTTCCTATCCGCCCCCAAAAGTCCCCTCCTGCTTTTTCATGGTCAAATCACTTTCCCCACCCTCTCCTTTGATAATCGCTGATCTGACTTCTGTTCCTGTAGTTTTGACTTTTTCATGAATGCCATATAAATGGAGTTATACATTAAGTAGCTTTTTTACTCTCACTTTCATTTAGTATAATACTTTTGAGATTCACCCATGTTGTTGCATGTATCTGTTCATTCTCTTTTATTGCTCATTACATTCTATTGTTTAGATGTACTGCAATCTGTTTATTCATGCTACAATTGGTTTGTGTTGTTTCTAACTCTTAGCAATTATGCATAGACCTGTTATAAACATGTGTATACAGATTTTTGTGTTTGCATATGTTTTCATTTCTCTTGAGAATATTCCTAGGAACTGAATTGTTAATCATGTATGTTTACTTTTATAAGAAACTGACAAACTGACTTCCAAAGTGGCTTTACCAATTTACATTTCCACCAGCCCTGTATGGGAGTTACAGTTGTTCTACGTCTTCACCAATAGGTAGTAGTTTTCTTTTTTTTCGGGGGGGGAGTGGAATTTGAGGTGAAGGAATTGAGCCACTCTAATAGATATGTGGTGTATTTCAATGTGGTTTTTAAAATGTTTATTGATTTTTAGCAAGAGGAGAAGGTTGGGGGGTGGGGAGAGAGACATCAATTAGTTGCCTCCCACATGTGTCCTAACCGGGGATCAAACCCACAACCTAGGTATGTGCCCTGATGAAGAATCGAACCCACAACCTTTTGGTTTGTGGGACAATGCTCCAACCAACTGATCCACACTGACCAGGGCTTTCAGAGTGTTTTTAATTTGCAGTTTCCAATTGATTAATGATGCACAACATCTTTTTATGTGCTTATTTGTTGTCAATATCTCTACTCTTTGGAGTTTTTAAAAAATATTTTGCTTATTTTTAACTGAGTTGTTATTGGGTTGTAAGGATTCTTTACAAAATCTAGATGCTAGTATTTATCAGAAATATGCTCTATAAATATACTCTCCCAGTTTGCAGCTGGTCTTCATTTTTTAAACAATGTCTTTTGAAGAACAGAAGTTTTTCATTGTATTGAAGAACAAAGAGACATTTCTAAATACCTGCCATATGCTAAATGTTGCTCCGCACAGGAGATATAATAATGCTTAAGCTTAAATTTGTACCTTTTTTTAACAAAATTGCCATCTATTGTTTTCTAGCCTGCCTTTTCACTATCTTATCATGAATATTTTTCACATCATTAAATATTATTTTAAAGCATGATTTGTAAATGTGTACATAGTCCTCTCATGGCTGTATTTTATTTAACTATCTCTATTTAGGGATGTTTATGTTGATTCCAATGAATATAAAAAAAGAAATATATGATTACTATTCTTGTGCAGAAATCTTTGTTTACATCTCCAGCTATTTTCTTAGTATAAATGCTTACAGTTGCAAAGACTGAGATAAATTCATAGCACTTTGTTTTATAATTGTCTCTTTTAAACGACTACAGATGTCTTGAAGCAAAGATCTAATCTTTCCCCTCCCTGTTATGCCAGCATATGACAAAGAGCCTGTCATATTTTAGGTTCACCATATATACTTGATGGATGGATAGTTGGAGAGAAAAAGTTTTCCCCTGAACTTCATTCTCCACCCTCTTCCTTTGTGAAAGAAAATAAGGGTTCCCATAGTCATCTACCCTGCCTTCTCAGATGAAGGGAATAAGAACGTTTTCTTCTATGAGAAAATCTTCCAAGGAGATTCAGGTTCCCAGAGAGCTGGGTGACGAGTCCTGTTGCTGCTCAACAATGCCCTTGAGGGGCCCCGCCCCCAGCCTTATAAAGCCAGGGTACGGCGGGGCAGCCACAGCTGGCACTCGCCCTCTGGAGCACAGCACCGGCACCGGCACCTGCACCAGCACTGGCACACGCTATGGCAAATGAAGTGCAAGCCCTGCCCTCCCCGCTGAGAGGGGGGCATCCTCCTGCAGGTAGGCTGCCCACCTGCCCTCTGTCCTGTGCAGAGCAAGGGCGCTCGCTGCTGCTGCTGCCGCTGCTGCTGCTGCTGATGCTGCTGCTGCTGCTGCTGCTGCTCTTCCTCCCACCTGTGCCTTCAACAGAGGCGCCCCAGCCACCAGAGATCCTCAACTTCCCACTGTCACTCTAACTTCATTCAACCTGATTTCCTCCTCTGTCTTTGATCTTTCTAGACTTGTGTATAAAATCACCTGGGGATTTGTCAGGCCCCAGTTAAATTAAAACCTAATTATATATGGGAGACAGGAAACTGGGTGTTTGTGGAAAGAGACAGGGAGGGAGGTTGGCCCTTTCCTTCCTGGCTGTAGGTTAGGAGTGACACATCCACACCTGGGTGGTGATTTACTGCCATGGAAACCCCGCTTCCTAGAGGTTCCAGCTCTGAGACTCAGTCTCCCAAGGTACCTGGGCATCATCTGACTTCATAGCCAGGCAAACCAGCTACCACAACAAGGACAACAACCGTCATTCTCTCTTCCTCCTCAGGCTTTTGGGCCGGGCAGTGTTTTCAGTGATGTAGTCTCCCTGTCAACAAGCTGAGGAGCACTTTTTAATAAAGACCCAAGGACTGGAGGAGGATGACTGAAAATGGTAGTTATCAGGTGTTTTGCAAAGAATCCAGTTTGTTCTCTCTCTCTCTCCCTCCGCCCCCCGCTTCCACTCTATTTTAAATGTGTGCTATATATATATATCAAGTCTTTGGAATATGGAAATTAGTTTTATTGTACTTAACCATATATTCATGTAGATTGACTGAGGCATATAGGCCTATTTTTAGCCAGTTTTATGTTCTTCAACTGGCTGCCTTCTTTTTTTCTTTAAGAAAGATCTCAAAAGCTTGACTGCTTTCTTTTTTCCTTTCTCCATTTACAAAATTTATTTATTGGTATACTTATTTGGCAACTGTAAGCCAAGGTTATTCAGTCATCTTTGCTGCAGAGGATGATGGCAGATACAACCTTTGTAAAGCTTGAAAAACTGACCCAGAGGTTCAGTGGCTTTCTGGTGAACAGCCCAGCTGAAAAAAGTCAGAATTTTTACTATTAATTTTGAGTTTCCAATTCTGGGCTCCATGCCCTACTCTCCTGTGGCAGACTCTCGACATTTTATATTTATAATTGGACTTAGCAATATTTAACATTATCTATATTTAAAGTTAATGATGCTACCTAATGGTCAGGAACTACATATGCAAATTATTAGAGAAGTCATTAGACAGATAAGAAAAAAGAAACGAGAACACCATTCTCTTCCCACCATTTCTACCTCAATCCTTCATAAAACAGTTAAGCTAAAACCTAATTTGCTAAATTACATTTATGCACTAAGAACACAGAGATAAACTTAACCAAGTGAATGTTTGAATGAAACCATCAAGAACTTTCTGCCCCCACCACTAATGAGTGCTAATTACTCTGTGTACTTAGCACACCATGAATCCATCAGGCATGTCACAATGCCTCTGGCATGACAATTAATTATTATGAACAGTGACACTACAGATAAGAGGTTTGGGATAATTAGAATAGAGATGAAGGCAGACTTTTGCCTCCCCACTGAGGCTAAAAAACAAAGATGCCTCATCCTTCGTCTGGTCTTGCTACCTATTTTAAGTCTCAACCAGTTTGCTATGGTACTAAATTTAATTTATGGAACAACAATAACTCATCACCAAAATGCCATTAAATCCTCACCTGACTTTTAAATAAGCAATATACGGGTCCCTGAAAAGGGGAAGCAGACATGGCAAAATGGGAAGGACCTGGCATGGCCCTTGGAATCGGACGGATGTGGATTTAAACCTGCTTTCGTTCCACATCTCTGAGCATCAGTTTTCTCATCTCTAACCCAGTGGGTAATAACTAACACCGATATTGTAAGGTTGTTAGGAGGATGAAAGGCAATGCCCTACGTAAGGTACCCAGCACATGAATGTTAATCGCCGTAAAATGCAGGCCTCATGGCACACACGGCTGTCAGAAGAAATTACCCTCCCCGATTGAAAGGTGTCCGGGCGTTTGAGGGCTCCTGCATTAGGCACTGTTGCGGGAGGCAGAACAGAAGGAAACTTCGGTGGAAAATATACACGTGCCTGCCCTGTCATAGTTAAAAATGAAACCACTCAGAAGTCAGCCAGCTGTAACTCTTTCCCACCTACATGTCGAGTGCTTAGTGGTTTTTCTTGCATGTGTATTAATATAATATATTGCACCTCTGTTAGCCCTGGTTATAAATTTATGCTATGAAACAAGACTACATTAAACATGAGCTGGCCTGGACTCTAGCAAGCTTAGCTTTCGATTTTCTGCTTTTTTGATTTGCCTCACTCTCAGTTTTATAAGAACCCCATCACACGAACAGCCAAAAATGTGTGAGGAGGAGGTGATCGAGGAAGCCAAGTGCATACGTAATGGACTAGAAAGAACAGGAGTTCATGAGTTTTTCTATATATTACCAGCACTTTTTAATTTGGTTTAAGTCAAATGAATCAGAGCCATCAGAGGGGCCACCACTGAACCTCCAGAGAGAATCAGTTTTCTGGCTCATTAAAGAGAGAACGAGGTTTGGGGAGTATGTCCCCAAGTGTGAAACTAATGCAGAAAATGGCAGTAACCACAGCTGCACAAGGGCCAGCATCATTAAAAAAGGAAGAGGAAAAAAAAGACAAAGACTTAATTCTCTCAACTGCAGTCTGCTTGCATCAACTTACAGGGTTTGATCTGTGCGGTTGGAGAGAGGGGATGGGAGGCCCACTGCGCCAGGCCTCACGGGGGCAGGGAGCGGATGCCTGCAACAACAACTGCATGCACCGCAACAACAACTGCATGCACCGCAACAACAACTGCATGCACCGCAACAACAACTGCATGCACCGCAACAACAACTGCATGCACCGCAACAACAACTGCATGCACCGCGAACCATGCTCCTGGCCCTGCACAGGGCCTCCCAGACACATCCATATCCCTGCATCTGAGGAAGTATCATCATCCTTGTGTCACAGAGGAGTAAACAAAGTCAGTGAAGTTGAGGAACTTGTCCCAAGTGACACAGCTGCAGGGCAGTGGGGCTGAGATTTCAAAATAAAGTGAACCCTCTGCCAAAGTGCCCCCGAGCCCACTCTCTTTGCTCCCCGGCCTTCTTCTGATGAGGGTCTTTTAGGTCTTGATTAGCAGCTTAAAATTCTCTGAAAAATCAAATGTAAATGCAAAGGAAGTGTTTTTCAAACATCTAACCTTTTCATTAAAATCTTTACATAAAAACTCTAAGTCATAAGGCAGAGTTTGCACAAAACTTTGTGTTGTTCAGGGCTGTTGTTGTTGTTGGGTTTTTTTTTCATGTTTTTTTTAATTCTCTACCAATTAGTAAAGGAAAAAAACTTAATTTTGTGTGGTAGGCTTTTCTTTATCTTGACTACCCTCTATGAAAAACTGCAAAATTTCTGGAAACCTTAACTGGAAAATTATTATATAACATTCTCAATTCAAAGGTCTATTTTTGAAGTTATAAATGACAAAAGGAGCCACAAGAGTCTAACTCTTACTCACAGATAGGAAAACAAAGTTTCATTTTCCCCATATAAATTTTAAAGAAACTATACAAAAGAGTATCTTTCTCTTTTACTTTTTTGCTGTAGTTCATTTTGTTTGTTGAAAAGACCTAAAGTTTTGTCTTATATATTTGTATTCAAAGGCCTGTTAAAATGTTAAATCAGCTCATATTTCATTTACCAGTTCCATTTCATCCTTCTATTGTGCAGAGGTACAAAAGACAATGTAGTCCCAAACATGAAATTATGTAAATGTCACAAATTTAAATGAATTTATTTAGTTACAGTGAGAACTTGAAGAGTTCCCACAAATCAGACCTATCTGTTATAAGCCAAATGAGCAAGACCCTGGTTGTGTTGGGTTGTAAATGTTTATTTACAATGGTTTATCTAGATCTCAGGAGACCAGTGTAAGCAGTGTTCCCTGTAGAACTTTGAAGATAACCCTCCTGCAAACTGGTTCCATCTGGTTCAGTCTCCTCAATGTAGTGAAGGTCTTAACCTGGGCATATCTCAGGGTATCTACTATACTATTATAGTAGATACCCTGAGATATGGGAATATTATTTTCTGCTTTTTTCTACTGTACATGGCTGACCAAGTGAGAGTACATACCAGAACAAGTTTGGTACAGGAACTGTGCTCTGCAGATCCACAGTGCAGTTCACTTACGCTTCCTAAATCACTCAATTAAAGCGCACAGCCTGACACCAGAGAGGATTCAAAGACTCCTGGATAAAAGTAGGAATCATCTGGGAGGATTTTTAATTTCCCCTCAAATGTCTCTATTTAATCATTTTTAAGAATAAGGGACTCCCATGTTTGCATTTTTTAAATTTCTTTTTGGCATTTGTTTCTGTGTTAAGTGCCTTACATTCTTTTGAAAGGGAGGGAAGTGATAGGTTTTTCTTTTGTCAGAAGATGGGAAGAGTTAGAATCATACTAAGGACTTCATAATAAAGACCGTCTGGTAGTTAAACTTCTACCAAATTCACCCAAATCCCCCTAAGACATTCTTGGCAGGCAGACTTCTTTAACACACCAACGGGCAAAGGACGTACTTATGTACAAGGCAATCTGCTCCATTTTGAATAACACACAATGTTATATGTAACCAGACTCTGCCTTTCTGGAATTTCCATTCTTTGGTCTTCATTCTTTCATCTGGAAACACATAAAGTAAGTGGAAATAATAACTACAAACTGTCGAGTACTTTCCATCTACCAGGAGCTTATGTCCCCTCTATTCTCTAGAACAACCTGAACCATCAGGTGAAGGGTGCAGAAACTGAGCCTCAGAGGGGTTTAAGCATCTCACACAAGATCACATACCCCAGGAGCGGTAGAGCTCTTTGACCCTACATAACATTTTCTCACCAAGAAACCTTTCCTCCTACCACACAACAGCCCCTCAGGGCTTTGAAGTTGGTACCCTAAGCTTGCCTGACTCTTGCTTCTTCAGAAGTGATCTGCCCTGATTCCCTAGGTCCTCACGTGGCATGGCTCCCTTCTCCACTCTGGTCACTCTCCTCTAGACGTTCTCTCTCTCTGTCTCTCTCTCTCTCTGGTGTGTCAATGTCCTTTCAGATTCATGCACAAATCCAGCATTCCACAGGTCTCCTTACTGTTAACTTGTTTATTTAACGATAACAATTTGCCTCGACCATTGGAGATAAAACCAGCTCAGATGGAAGAAAATGTATAGAAACAATAGCATCAGGAAAAACAAAAGGAGCACCAAAAAGAAAATCATTACCATACACCCTATTTTAAAAGCACTTGTCATAAGGAGAATAAAAATACTGTTGAGAGGGGTATTGAAGACGCGAACTCCTGTTTGATCCCTCGTGATAGGCAAGACAATGATGCTGTGAACACTACCATCCCTTACTCAGGGGCGCACACTCCTCAGTCTTCCTGAAAAATCCATCCATCGGTTTATCTCACATCTGGATTCCATGGCTGTTCAGAACATGTTTCCACATAATTTCATCTTTGCTGATGATTACTTTGTGTGTCTTTTTTTCGTATATATACATGTATATATATGTATGTGTTTGTATGCACTTAAAGGAAACCAGGTATGAAATAGCATTTTTTCCCTAGACTGCATCTAACATTGCAAAATTCTAGCACCAGGCTTTCATAATCAGTAGAAAAACAAGTTGGTAGTGATTGAAAATGACCAAGTGGGGTTTATTCCATGAATACAAAAATGGTTTCATAGTAAGACATCTATTAATATAATTAATACCAATAAGCAGAAAAATCATATGATATCTGTTTATGCCAAAAAGGTATCTGATAAAATTCAATATGTATTTGTAATTTTCAGGTACAATGAAGCTACTAGAAGGATATTTCCTTAACATGATGAAACTCTATACTTATGAAAATATATATACTTCATATATATATATATATAGCCTCATAAGTACACATTATTCTTAATAGAAAAACACTAAAAGCAATTCTTTAAAAATTAGAATGTCAAAGATATCCACTATCACCAATATTAAACATTATTTTGCAGGAAATAATGTAATTCTTCACATGTTAGTCTTTTTTTTAGCTTAGAAAACCTAAGAATCAATTTAAATTTGTAATTTAAAACTATTATAAACAATAAGAGAATTTAATAAGATTTAGATATAAATATGAGTAATATAAAAAGAACAATCTGTTAGTGTTATAATGGAAGACTAGGCCTATTTACAATAGCAACAGCAACAGCAAAGATAAAATGCTTGAGGAATAAATCTAATAATAAATGTGTGAGATTTATATGAACAAGTTTCTGAGGGACCCAAAAGAACATATAAACAATGGAAAAACATACCAAGTTCTTGAACAGAGAGCTACCAGGAATGTAAAGATATCAAGTTTTCTTTTTAAAAAAATCTATAAACTCAAAGCAAGATTTTTAAAAATAATACCAGTAGGAAATTAACAAGCTGATTCTAAAGTTCATATGGAAAAATAAATAAGAATAGCTAGTAAAATTCTCCAAGGAAAATATAACAAAAGAGAACTAACTGTCAGTATTAAAATATAATACAACAATAATCTAAATAAAGTTGTAATGGCATATGAATGCATAGAAAGGTTAATGGAACCTCCATTAGAATAGAAGTCCAGAAATAGCCACAAACACACACACACACACATACGCACACACACATGCACATATATACACACACATATATGAGAACTTAGTATGTGATAAAAATGGCATTTCAAGTTAATAGATACAAGATGGATTTTAAAAATATTATTAGAATATTCTAAAAAAAATCTATGATGCCACCAAATGACTTACACAAAATACATTCTAGAAGAGTTAAGGATTTTTGTATGTGTGTGTGTGTGTGTGTGTGTCTGTGTGTGTGTGTGTGTATGTATGTATATATGTATAATCAAAATCAAAGATTGATTATGCAAAATGAAACCATAAAAGTTCTAGAAGAGTCCTGCCCAGTGTGGCTCGGTTGGTTGGGTATCATTCCACAAAGCAATAGTTCTCCAGTTTAGTTCCCAGTTGGGACACATGCCTGGGTTGCAGGTTTTGTCTTTGCCTCTCTCTAAAAATAAATAAATAAAATCTTTTAAAAAAAAGAATATTTAAAACATAAAAAGTTATAATATGTAGGTAGACATATAGACTATCTGTGTATGAATACATGGGAAACTTGAGCATTAGCAGAAACTAGGGAGATGAACCAGGAGGCTGGGAAATAATGGTGGGAGGGAGACTACAGACCTTTTCATGCTTTTTGAATTGTGTGTGTTATGCATGTGTTAAAATCAAACCAATAAAACCCTGATCGGTGTGGCTCAGCTGGTTGGACATTGCACTGCAAAGTGAGAGGTCACTAGTTTAATTCCCGGTCAGGGCACATGCCTAGGTTGTAGTTTTGGTCCCTGGTTGGGGTGCATATGAGAGGCAAACAATCGATGTTTCTCTCCCTCTCTTTCTCCCTCCCTTCCCCTCTCTCTTAAAAAAAAAATCAAACCAATAAATTAAATAATTATTTTAAAGAGCAACTTTTTAAATTTTAATTGACACTAAGTCAATTCACAAGAGCATAGTGAAGCAAAATTGGTTTTTCTTATTTTGACTTTATTGGAACTAGTTTTAGAAAGCTGTCCATTTGACATCCCCATAAAAAGAATTAACAGGTTCAAACAAGTCAATGTCCATTTAGCTTTTTCTCATTTGAGCTTGTCAGATTTTAAATGTGCAAATTTCCTGGGAACAGAAAAAAGCATTTGCTTTGATTTGCAATTTGAAATGGGTTGTTCCTTTTTAAAAGTTGATTTCATCTGACGTTGTTAAACACTTGAATTGCTGTTAGGTCATCTGTAGCCTAATTAACACTAAATGATCTCTTGAATGGCAGGATTATTAATGCAATTTAATTACTCATTGCAATATCTGAGCTTGGCCAACATCCGAGGTTCGGGTCTGAGATGAAAGGTGGGTATCCAGTGGGATCAGAAGAATCTCTGTTGGATTAAATGCCTGTTATCACCACTGCCCTGACTTTTGGCTCATTCTCAGAAATCTGGCTTTTGAAAGCTTTGGTTGAAAAAAAAAAATGCAAGCCTCGCACAAACTTTAATCTTGTGGGAAAACAGGAGGGTCACACTGTAATTGTCGGGTGCTATCATGAAGAATGTAATTGGTCTGATAACAAGAAAAAATGTTTTTCAGTGAAATGCCTATGGGAGTGCGGTGTTATTCATCTCCCAGATGGAAGATGTAACCTGCGGCCTTTTTAACTTCCGTCCCCTTCTCTGAATGTAAACAGGCAGGGCTCAGGGCTTCTTCCCCTCCCCACCCTGTTTGCACAAAACGTATTTCTCTCACCTTAATGTGGTTTCAGGGTAACTTTTTATATTGTGTTGTTTTAGGTAAAAGTTTAGATCTCTAAAAAAATAAGTTCTGTAATTCTTTTCAAACCTAAATTCATACTTTGAATTAATAAAGCATGCCTTCCTTGCTCTTCTAACCATGACTCCCATGTTGATATGTATTTGTTTGTAGTAAAAGCTGGAGGAATGCGGATTTCCAAAAAACAAGAAATTGGCGTCTTGGAGAAACACACCAGAAAAACAGGATTAGAGAAAACAGGGTAAGGGACTGCTTACTTTCTCCTCCTGCATTACCACAAGGAGCTTTGAGTGACTCTTCTTCCAGAAGTCAGAGGCCTCCCAGTATTTTTGGACAAACCAAAGGCTCCTAGGCTTTTGCTAAGGAGGGTTAGAGGCAGCCACCAAGATGGGGTGGGGGTGGGGGTGGGGGGTCACAATCAGTGGTGATGCAGAATGGGGGCAAAAGGCACACTGGGGCGAAAGGTGGCCTCCTTCTGGAGGACTCTTTCTGGGCCTCCGTCGCTAACTCCACCCATTCTCCCCGACTCTGAGTCCAGCCCAGCTGTCCTGCCCTTAAATGACATGGTCCTAAATGCATTCAAACCTGACGCATGTCCCTTTAACCTATTTTCAACATGAGCCTTTAAAATATTGTCCCTAGGCTGCCCTATTTTCATAGTATGCTTTTAGCTGAAGCAAATCTCCTAACTTAAAAATAAGTGCTTTTATTGTTGTTTTAAATTCATCGCTCAATTATTTAGAAACTAGTAATGGCTACTATATTTGGCATAGCTGGAAGGCTTATAGATACTGAGACTGGTTTCTCCCTATTCTTTTACTATAACCTTGACACACTATTCTCAGAGCTAAGCAGAAAGCTGGGCTGGATCAGACATGCAAAAGGGCCCAATCATTCCATGTCTTAGGGAAGATTAGTATGTTCAAAAAGAAATAAACATGCAGAACTGGCTCCTCCAAGTAGCGTAATGAGGGGCACTTCAGAGGCTTTTTCAAATGGTTTCCATAGATGGTTTACCAGTAAAGTCTGTTTATAAAGGTTGATGAGTATTTGAAAAGGAGTCGACTAGAGGATGCCCAAGCTTGTTGCCACAAGAGTCAAAATGGCAACAGTCTCAGAAGAATTCAGAGTGAAATATACTATGGATTTTCTTTGGCTATTTCCTGTAAAATATTTTTGGATTGTTTTTAAAGTTTTCTTTCCCATTTGTGTAAAGGAAATTGTTTGGGGATCTTTTCTACATTAAAATAAAATACTCATTATCCACTTTAGCAATATGTTTTTGTTTCTCCTGATACTAGAAAATAACCATCACATAACGAAAGCCAGGCTGTTTGGTTGAGTCCCCAAGAATAGGAGGGTCACGTATTATTCTCTTGTGACCCAGCATCGAGGACAGCTGCTAGAAGAACGAGAGCACTCTGTCAATAACAGACTGTTGTTGAACTGCAAGCTGGTTATTTTGAAAGTTTATTCTGTTACTAAAATCTGACTTAAGCATAAGCCCTGTTCATTGTGACACTTAACATGCCAGGGCCAGCAGCTCAGGAACTCGAGTCATAGCTTGGAAAGGCCTTTCTCGTTGACAGCTGGTGGGCCTGTCCTAGTCTCTGCACCTCAGAAAAAGAGGGCTTACTATTCATTCCAACTTTGGCTGAACAATGTCAGAAGGGGCGTTGTCTAGAGAGTAATAAAGTGGTGATTGGAACTCTCTTTTTAAAAAACCCTCAATTTTTTTTCTAAGAGTTGTTAAAAGATGGGTATTGGACTATACTACAGAACTTAAACAGCACGAAATAGCTCTCTCTCTTGCTTCCTGTTTACCAGGTATAAATATAAGTAGGTGGGACCGAAAGCCTATAGCATTTGGGTGCCATCTTAAAGAAAAACAATAAAAACCAATATGAAATGGCTCGGGCCCCTCCCAGGGCTGTGGAAGAAGCCCATGCAGTGAGAGGCGGCGGAGCTGGAGCTGCATTAGCTCCACCATAAATTCACCGCTGCCGTTTGCATCGGCTTCGTGAGCATGTGCATCCGGTGCAAGCACCTCATTTTTATAGACAAACGTCTCCCCTTCCATTTTCTTGGAGAATAGCTTTTGAAAAAAATATACCCTGGAAAATAAGTTTCTAGGCATTATCAATCTATGTCCATTTCCTAATAACTTGTACCAACCAACACAAACCATCCAGAAAAAGAAATGCCTAGTGCAGAGTTTTCTTCAAGAAACTACTGCAGGCTCAGCCCTGATTGAAACTCTTCTATAAAATAACTTGGCCTCAGAGAAGAAGCCAGAAACAATAGAGTACATACCATGTGATTCATGTTATGAAGTTCAAAACCTTCAAAACTAGTCTGTAAGTCAGGGTCGTGGTTATCCTTCGGGACAACTGGTTAGACTAGTGTTTTAAGTTTGTGAATCTTCACCAAGCTATATACTGATAACGCGTGCCCTTGTCTGCATATGTATTATACTTCAAGGAAAAGTTTACAAGCAATGGGAATAATGAGTTGGCCCACAAAGCTTTTTTGCAACACATGGGCACACACAGGCAGGATTTTTCATCTTTTAGATGAAGCCAAGCAGAGTGAAAGCTTAAAAGCCAAGTAGACCGCCCTCTACATAAATCATTTAACCTCTTCAGTGGGGAAGTTTTCAGGTCCTCTCTGAAGATTCTTTTCATCTTTGCAGTGCCATTGTAAATGTTGCCAAAATACAGCCGGTGGACGCTCTGAATGACACACTGGAGAAGGTGAGTGCGGGTGAGGTGCGCCCTGTGACCCTCCAGATAGCATTCGCCCAGCGACAAGGCTGCATGCGGGAACGAGCCCACGGCTGCCGAGGTTTTTTCCAGCTCAGAGGTTTGATGTCCTTGTGAAAGAATCTGCTCTCAGTCCGAGAAACACAAAGAGGTCTCAATGAGACAAGCTGTTTCTCCCAAATTCCTACTGTCCATTTAATAAATTGTCTCAAAAAATAAGACAGAAAATAAAGCAAGAATCATGACACCAAATTGGCAGAACTTTACTTTGCCATCCCAAATATTTCTCGGAAACATTGGCATGCTTTTACCAAAAGGCAGCCTGTAGGGAAATCAGCAGTTTTTGACCTTCTCCGCACCGCTGCATTCCCTTAAGGAAAGCCTCCATTCGAGGGGAGTGCGGGTGAGGGAGGGGCTGTGCAGTTTCGTGCGGGAGGAAGGCTGGGCGCGGGCAGGCTTTACCCAGTAAAGTCTGTTTATAAAGGTGGTTGACCATCGCTATTTTTATGTCTATATTTTGAATTTCCTCTAAGTAGCTCAAGAAACTAAGAGAACTCTTACCAGAAAGACAGTGGTTGGCTTTTGTATTCATGAGTTTGTTTTTCAGTTACATAGGTGAGCTGAGGGTCCTCACTTTATTTCTAGGGGGCAGATGCATTGCATTTAAGGCAATGAAAAACCGCTCTGTCAGCTGTGCACATGTTTATTGAAGGGACAGAACTGGTCATCCTTTATGGAATAAACAGCAATGTTTACTGCCCACATCAAGGATCTGCAAAATATCAGAGCGGAACTGTGCAGCTAGACCTCTGAGTCCTCATTGGGCACTGACTCTTCCGCTTACTGTCTGTATGACCTTGAGCAAGTCACTTATCCTGTGTCCCAGATTTCTTGTTTGTAAAATGGAGACAAGAAAGGGAACACATTCACAGTTTTGTTGTGTGGAATGAATGCACGCATACACAGTGCGCTCCTAGAACATTGCCTGGCATAGAGCCACCTGTCTGCACTCCGTCTGGTCAGTAGCATCGGTTTCGTGGCAGTGAAATAAAAGGATATGTCTGAAGCCCATGGATGTTACAAAGCAGATCGTACAAGACAAGATCTTGATTATAGACTCTAGCTACAGAGCCTTCTCCTGTGGGAGGCTTTGTTCTCCCATCCAGTAGATTTGAGGTGAGGTCGTAAGTGCCTCTTTGCCTGGCTGGCTTTACAAGAAGGGCAGGCGTGCATGGTGCCCACTCTGGCCTCTCATGTTCTCTTGCTCCTGTCCACTAAACACCTCGTTCTCAGGGGCAAGAAAATGCCGCAATTGTAAGGAAACTGGATGGTACATTCCTCTAGAATGTATGTTCACCCAAAATAAAATGTTTAAAGAGAGTGGTCAGTAAAGAGAGTGCTATACATTAGGTATGATGCAAGGGTATATAGTGTTTGTTACGCACCTATGCACATATGTCTATGACATAGAGGGGTTCTTTCGCTTTCGGTTAAAAATATCAATTCTTTATTTCAAAGAAAAAAAGAAGAATTAAATATCAACAACAATAGTAAGTAGTGTTTGGAAAAGTAAGACAACATTGAGATGGCGTGCTGTTAGAAATAGTTTTAACAGCAACTACACATTTAAAAAGGAAAACTTTTAACACTTAGCTCAGCATTTACTGATGTGAGGAAGTGGCTCAGACTACACAGATTCCTGGCTGAAACAGGTCCTGGCATGAGACGGCAGCCGTCTGGGTCTTCTGCTGGCTGTCGTTCACTAGCTGTGTGTCCCTTGGGCAGGTTTCTTCACTTTTCTGTGCCTTGGTTTCCTCATCTTTAAATAGGAAGATGACTACCAGTATCCATGTCAAAGTGATGTTGTGAGAATAAAATAAGTTATATAACATGTGCAAGTGCTTAGCACAGAGCTAGGCAGTTAGCCCTCACTCCGTGCTGCCTTCTGTTCCCGGGCACATACCCCACAGGGCATCCTTGGGAATCCTGGGCAAAGGATAAAAGGCCAGAAAAACCTTGGAAGTCCCAAGATTACCATACTGACCGACCACCTTGAATATGGAAGTTAGTGGGACCCACATATTTCCTTATAGCTAAGAAAAATCCTCCCTGAATTCCTAATTCAAGCTGACGTGTAATAGGATTTCATAATGAAGGTCAACCTGGGGTTAGAAGACCAGTGCCTTTTAAAAAATAGATCGCGGAAATCAGTGGTAGTCAGGAGCTGGAGGTGGGAGGAGGGACTGATCACAAAGCAACAAGAAGGAATTTTTTGGGGGGTCGGTGATGAAGTGGTTCTACATTTTGAGTGTGGTAGTGGTCACAGATTGCATATACTTGTAGAAACCCACAGAACTATGCACTGAAAAGGGTATATTTTACTGTAGATAAATTATACTTTAATTTTTAAAAATAAATATGTATAAACTATATGCCTCACACCAAAAAAAATAAAAGACATAAAAGATAAAGAGATACAGATATTGATATCTGCTGATAAACTTTTGCCTGTATTATGATTTCCTCTGAAAGATACATTGTCATGAAGACCTAACATATGCAATTGGACAGAAGAAATACCATAGTACCATATGATTAACATTCTCATATTATTAACATTCATTTATGCCCTTAGCTAGAATTCTGTCTAGTTCCAAGAACCCATTTAAATTCTCATACCAATTTAAGAACTTAGAGTCTAAGACTGTGAAAGCACAGCCTGATTCATAGGATCTCAACAACCATTCAATCATGACAGGAAATTTCTATCCATATGCTATTTATCTGAGGATGCCCTACTTTAAAACCAACCTAGAGTTCAAGATTGAGATTTGGAAGATTGGAAAACAATCCCCAAAACATTGGAACTGTATAAACTGAAGTAGGAGGCAGCCTGAACTTTCTCCTCCCACTATCTCCCCCTCACCACCCTGCACACAGATCTCTGTCCCCGCTACATTTCCCCCTTCCCTTCCCACCTCTCCAGCCAGCCCTTCCCACCTCTTCCAGCCCTAAGTGGTACGAGGATTGGTGTTGCCTAATGCCAGACCACATGACACAGTATTCTTGGCAGCAAAGGAGTTATGTAACCCTGAAAACTGTCTAGGCTAAAAATCTGGGAGACCTGGCCTTAGACCAAATTCCACCTACTCCTTAGAGATTGTTTAACCTATTAGAAGTCACGTGGCTCCTCTGAGATTTATGATGGCTCATGTACTTAATTTTTTAAGGTGGGATTGAGAAAGAATGATACTGCCAAGAATATTAATTCTCTGGATGGTTATGGAAGTTACATTTGGCATTAGTTGTGAAGCTTCTCCAAACATGGAAGTATCCAGTTAAAACAATAGTAACAGGGTTGGGTTATGGTGTGGAGGGGGGTGGAATGTAGAAGCCTAATTAAAGTTGAGGCCCCTTTTCAAGTTGCCAGGCGCGTCACCAGTGCCAACCTTAAGTGAGGAGATGTGAAAGGGGATCCAGGGGCAGAGGAAACTATCAAAGGCATCTGCAAATCTAAAAAGGTTTCTCTTGTTCTGTAGATTAACATCACCCTAGGAGTAGCCTTAAATTTCATTGACTCAAGCTGAATGTTTTGTTTTAAGCACTTTACTTAACAGGGTGTGGAAATCTAAGTGCCAATGTTCAAGTTGGAAGTTAACACCCTGGAAAGATGAAGGAAAGAGCTGCCCGTCTACAATGCTACCTGACTTCAGGCTCTAAAACAAAACCAGCCACTGATTCTCTTGCATCTAGAATTTCTTTCACAGCTCCAGTCGTAAAGACTTTTAACATACTTCTTTAGCTTTTTCTCTGATACCAAAAATATAGGTTCTGAGGTCACAGCTACCCAAGATGAAGGTAAATTCTCAGTGTGGCAGTTTCTATTGATCTGCTTTTCAAGTTCAGTATGTTGGCCCTTATGTGATGGAGCCACAACAAGACAGAGTCCTTACACAGACACTGGCCTTGAATCCTTTCTCTTGTGGAGTTACCCTAGATTCTCATCCCCTAATGAATCAGACAAGAAACACCTTTCATTCTGCAAACCCTATCATTTTACAAAGATGAATGATGAAAAATCCAAAGCTTCCCCAAAGTAAGAATGCCAGACTAAAGGCACAGCTGGTTGTAGGTTGTACTCTGCCAAGCTATGCCTACTTATTTCTAATTCAGACTTGAAAATAAAATCTTCCTATCTCCATTGACATAAAATCGACACCACAAAATTAGGACATTTAGGGGCTGACTATTTTATTTATAGTTTCAATTCTAATTGAAGACTCCTTATAAACTCTACACCTACAACCCCCCCCCCCCCCGCCCCCGCCAAGTTCTTCTACATTAGGATATTCCTCATTGAGGCGGTGGGTATCTGGGGAAGAGAACTTCACTCTCTTGTCATATATACAAGGGTATGGCGAAAATGGGTTTACAGTTGTTTGTATGGAAAATAATACAATGATTAATAAATGATACAAGAATAAACTCTGTTTCACATGCTCACAACTGTAAACCTACTTTTGCCCCATCCTGCACAAGAGGTGCTAGAAAACCCTGTTACTATCCTCCGCAACATGTACATTTGTAATTTAATAATTATAGGCAGGTTCTCTAAGGCTATTGTCGTTGCTAGAATTTCCACTACTTTCTCAATCCCATTGATTTTTTTGCCCCCAAACTGTCCCAAACCAGCCACCGGTGGCCAGCAGCCCCAGAGGCAGCCTCCGGCTCATCCCCCCCCCCCCCCCCCCCCCCGCCCCCCCCCCCCCCCCCCCCCCCCCCCCCCCCCCCGCGCCCCCGTTCGTGTTCCCCTCCTGAGAAGCCGCTGAGCAGAACCTCTAGGGCCTCAGCTAAATGCCCTGGTTAAGGTGGAACCCTAAACCTTGTGCTTTACTGGTGGGAATGTAAAATGGTGCAGTCGCCATGGAAAATGGCAGTTGCTAGAGCTGGGGAAGGAAGGAATGAGGATTTATTGTTCAAGGGGACACAGTTTCAGTTTGGCATAATAAAAATTTCTGGAGGTGGATGGTAGTAACAGTTGCACAATAATGTAAGTGTATTTAATGCTACTAAACTGCACAGTTAAAAATGGTTGATCTGGTAAATTTTATGTTAGGTGTATTTTACCACAGTTTTTAAGTGATCGAAACATGTCGTCTCTAAATCGTGCGGATAAGCCGGGAGGTGCATTTGGGCCCCATGCCGCTGTCGGCGTCCCCACACCCGGCGCTCCTTCCCCTGCGCCTTCCCGCCTCCACCCGTCAGCCGTAAACAGCCATCCGCACCGTGGCTTTCTCTCTTCAGTCTCAACTTGTCATCTTGCTCCGTCTCACCTTGGCTAATTGCCCAGATTTCTGCTATATCACAATTCCTTGTTCATTTCCTTTCTCACCCCACCAACCCCTTTACCTTAGTTTGCATTTGACTTTAAGTAACTGGCCTGGTTGTTCTTCCTACCTGTAATCTCTTGAATGTGATTTACAGCTAACTTGAAATAATCCATCTGTTTGAGGGGACATTAAAGACACCCAGTCTAGAAGGAAACTACTGAAGTCAGTGACCTCTTAAGTTTCCTTTTGGTTCTAATGTTAAAAGAAAAACAAAACACGCCACACTTACCAAACTGTAAAGTGGATTTCCTGTGGCGTGATGATAACTGATCAGACAAAAGAAGACAGTGTTCTTTCTTTTTCTTTTCTTTTCTTTTTCTTTTTTTTTTAGATTTTTCTTCCTTTGTGCTAGAATGCCAGCAGAGATCATCCTTGGGTTTAATTATTGTATAACCTGCTAATTGTAAAACAAAAATTTTCAAAAAATACTGATAGGCAAAATAAAGAATAAGACTAGGCATTGCCCATAATTCTATCCCTTGGAGATAACCATTGTTAACACTTCAGTTTATATTCTTCCAGTGTGTTTAATTTTTTAAGATCAAGAAGAACAGGCTTGCTAATGTTCAGTTTCACATGAAAGGGAATGGTGTGTGCGTAGAGCTCAGGGACATTTGAGAAGAGATATAGGGCATGTATGTTTTCCCTGGCTTAGAAGAGCCCAAATAAACCATAAACAACGTGATGTTTGGGGTCATGAGCAGTTTATCTCCCCTTTTATTTAATTTGAGTGTCAAGGCAAGGGCATCTAAGTGTGATAATGATTCGGTTAAATTCCTAGTGAGCTGAGGCATTCCTTTCCTGCTTCCTAAAGAAGGCATCCTTATGTACCTTCATATTTATATCTATGGATTTGAAAACCAAGAACTAGAATGGACACAAAAAGGTCACGGGGTCCAAATTCTCTTCCTAGGAAAATTATATCTGAGGTCCTTGCATCATTGGACATCCTTTTGATTTTAAGCCATCCTTAATGCAACTTCCATAAGGTCTTTTGGTTCCTTGTGAAAGTTCTCTTATTGTCAGATAGTCTCAGTTAATTTAAATCTATTTAAGCCTGTTTCCTCATACATGTCTTACATGTGGAGATGACTAATGAGAAATTTGGTAGCTGAGACTAGTGAGTCATTCCTCAGCCTTCTCTTCACCAGGCTGTTTAGATTGAACCATATAAAATGACTAATACTACACCATCTTTTATCTATTAAAATAGCAATTTCACATGTTTCAACCTAATAAAGAACTCTAACTCTTCCTAACTTCTTTTTCTGTTCATGTCTCTGGTTCCTGGCACTCCAAAAGTTCTTTATTTCTACTCTTTTGACAATTGAGGGGTTCTTGCCCCTCAGGACTTTCCCAAATGTTTCCATAGCCTTTGTAAAATATAGTGATCCATATAGGCATATGGGTTGTGCCAAAATAATTGTTAATATTAGAAGACTGATGCAGAAACAATGGACCATCTCTACCTTTAAAAATGTCACTTCAAAGCATAGATACAAATACACATATGTATTATGTATATTACTTTAATGTAATACATATTATAATTTTACAAATTAGAGATAAATTAATGGGGGAAAACCCAGGTTAACACACTGTGGGCTCAGAGCTGGAAGTGGTAGGAAAAAAGAGATATTACCAAGGAGGTAAACAAAATTGTGAAATTTTCCTGATGAACTGTATTGCTTTCTACTTTAATATTTCATAGTCAAAAAGATCCAATATGCTTATTTTTTTCTTTCTTTCTCACATTTAGCTCAGCCATAAATTTCCAGCAATAGTGCACATGGCACATCAAAAACCCAGACCTGCTCTGGAGAAGGTCACTCCAATAAGAAGGATCTACATTATTCAACAGCCTCGAAAATGTTAAACTGGGACATAAAACACAGCCATCTGGCCAACTGCCTCGAACATCTGACAGCTTAGCAAAAAGGACCAAAACTTTCCTTAGGCTTCATGCATTTGCTTGGTAAATGAAACAGCGTTTGTATCTTCTCTTTGGACTTTAGCTAATAAAGCATCTGAAACTATAAATCCAATGCATTCTTGGGCCTCATTTTGGTCCAGGACAAGATCCCATTGATGTTTACATAAGTAATTCTGTTAAATAAGTGGAGAATCCAGAATACTTGACTCTTTGACTCTACCTCCTCAGACAAGTTCTCTTATCTTTGATGTGGACCCCGAGTTGTTCCAGCCACAGCAAGTTCTTGAAAGCAAAGGCTGGAGAGGAGTACACTGGCCTTTGCTAAGGCCAATATCATATGCAAACATGAGTCATTCTTCTCAGTGTGTTTGTCTTAAGATGCTCAAGTTTTCACTTGAGGTGAAATGTCTTTTCTAGTTCCATACATAAATACATAGTTTGTTCTGGAGGTTTAGTTGGGGGAAAATGGAAAGAATTAGATTTATTATAGACATAGTTCCTTCTGCAAAGCAATGAAGGATGGGAGGTTGAACTATAGTTTCAGTAGGAGATTTTCTCAGGGCCTCCCAGAAGGTTCATGCTCTAGAACTGAAGGGATTATGAGGCTACAGGGAATTGTGGTTGGGGTATAGAAATTGATTTTAATTGGAGGAGGGAGAAGAGGGAAAGCATTGCTCTAGCTAAAGCTGCTCTAGTTCTCCCATCCTCTACAACACACACACACACACACACACACACACACACACACGTGCGCATGCGTGCACCCCTACCTTCATATACTCACAGGCAAATAACCAAGGGCATCCTCAGGGGGATGGGAAGGTACATTTTTTTCTGCAGAGGTTAGCTGTCACAATTCCACCATTCTGAAACTCTAATTAGTAATGCTATCCAACCTTCAGCACTTCTCTTTACCCAAAAATGAGGTCAGCACTCTAGTCCATCATTTTATAGGTTGACAATCCTCCGAGTGTGGCCTGATGCCAAGCCTGTCTCTGGTTCCAGGAACTCCAAAGGTACCTGGCTAAGACCCAGTGGTCATAATGATGCATCCCACCTCCTCCTTGGTGTTGTTTGGCTCTTTTTCAGGAGTAATAGAATTGTTTGAGACAATATCAAGCCTCAGTCAGTGCCAGCATGAATCAATAAGACAATCCTAAATACCCCACTTTGGCTTAGCTCAGTTCCTAGTCTTCTTGGATTGTTGTCAGGAATATTCCAGAATGGTAAGTGTTGCAAGGCTAATAAATGCACAGAAGTTCAAAGTCAGTCACCACGGCCCAAGGGTAGAGTAGCAAAGTATAAGCCAGATGGTGGATGCTAGCTGGACCACTAAACTGAGATTAGGTGACTGAGGTTCTACTTCTGACCCATACTAGGTTGTTAACCTTAAGCAAGACACTCGGCCCTTCTGATCCTTATCAAACAAGGACAATAGCATGTGATCCCCTAGTTTAACCTTCCCAAGTGACATACTGAGAAGAAGACAAAATAGACCATGGGATTTGCAATAAGCCATTTAAAAAGTAGTGAGAGCAAGGTGGTACTAGGATGACTGTTCTAGAACCTTCCAGAACTATAGGAGTACAACTGTAAGCTGAGCCTAAAGTAGGAAATTCAAAGGAAAACTGGAGATTTGGGCTAGACAGAAGCAGAGAGAAAGCTGAGGAGGGAGATAAGGGAAATGGGAAGCAAAGATGGCCACACTGCAACACTCAGCTTTCCCGAGGGTAAGATAAGGCCAACTACTGACAGGAAGTTAGAAGAGAAGAAGGTGTCATTCTCTCTGTCTAGAGGTGGAAGATGTATTATAGGAGAAGAGAGGCTGCTCAAAGGGAAATTATGCAATGAGGACCCCAGCATTAATTTAGGTTCATAATTTTAGCCATTTAAGTCACCAAATCATAGAAAATAAGAAGTTTGGTGTGAATTTCATATATGAAAGGAAATTGGAATTATTTTGGAGAATGTATCAGAAGAAAAAGAAATAGGCCAGTAAGTGAAATTTCTGGTGACATGGCTGCATGGCTGTTCCTTCTCTCTCTCCTGAGGAATGAGCCCTGCATGGATGCGCCGCAGCTCCACCCAGTGAGAAGCCCCCCACGATGTGTTCACAGGCCCCGAAAAGCCATGGCACTGGGAGACGGGCTGTCAGTAGGGAAATGGCTACAGTTTTGCTGGCAATTTATTGGGTGATGTTGGTTAATGAAATCATATAGGTTTCAGGTGTGCAATTCTATAACACATTATCTGTATATTGCATTGTGTGTTCACCACCCCAAGTCAAGTTTCCTTCCAACACCACTTAACCCCCTATAGCTCATTTGATTTTAGCTCAAGAGGCTCTTTGCTAGGCGCCATGACACAAAGATGAGGAAGACACTGCTCCTGCCACCAGGAGCTCTTAGACCAAAGGGAAGTAGGCATGCCAGCTAATCAATACGAAGAGAACGTTTAGAAATGACTTGGTAGGTGGGTGGGGGACATGCTGGGGAAGAGGCTCATGCAATCACTCGAGGGTCACGTACAGTCAAAAACAATGTGTTGGGTGTGGAGATCAATACCCAAATGTAGATCTTAGTAACAAAATTTTATTTATTTTTTATTGAATATATTGGCATGACACTGGTTAACAAATTTATACAAGTTTCGGGTGCACAACTCTACATCATCTGTACACTGTATTATGTGTTCAACACATTAATAAACAAATTTCTGTTAAGCCTTTTATGGGAATTTAAGAACAAACACAAAACTTGAGTGAATATTATACTGAACCTTCAGGTGCCCATCACATAGTTTCAAGAATGTGGTCCATCTTGTTTCATCTATGGCGTCCAGACCCCCACCTCCTCTTCCCTTTTCCTCCCTCCTTCTGGATTATTTTAGAGCAAATCCCAGACATCATAGAAACACTTCAGTGTGTTAACTCCAAGAGATAAATACTTGTGTGTGCACACTCTCTCTATCTCTATCTTTGTGTCTTTTCTCTCTCTCTAAACTGAATTTGATAAATTTTGTGGAGCAAAAGGGGACATTTATGTAAACCATCCAAGAATCTTTCACCATAACAGGGAGACTGGCATTGCTCTGCTGGCCACAAGAACCAGAAACCAAAACCAAAACAGAGCAACACACACACGCGCGCACACACATGAGCCAGCAACATCCACAGACATGACTCCTGGGAAGTTTGAGAAAGCACAGGAGGTAGAAAATGAAGAGGGCTTTGAGGTTGAAAGAAAGAAGAAGGTAAATATGAAATTGGTGGAAATAAACAAGAAGTACAGGAAGAAAACACTAGGGGAAATCAATTCTTACTTAGAAAAGGGATATAGAATACACAAAAATAGCTAGTTCTAAGGTCACTCAGAGGAAAAGTGAGGTAAGATAGGAACAAAAGAAGATAAAATAATGGCAGAAAAAAACTAAAATTGATTTATTCAGCAAACACCAGGATCCCCCTGTGTGATCTGCTTCCTTTAGATGGTGCTTGGTACATATTATGCTTTTATATGAAGACCTAGGTGTCAGCTGGATCCACCATCCCCTTGGAATAGGCAAGATAAGCTCAAACCCCGATCCTCCCACTCATGGGTGTTCACATTACTCCTCATGATGTCTGTGAATCTCCAGGAGAGTTACATTGTCATGGTCACCTCTGATTTTCAACAAAATCGCTCATTAACTTCTGTCCCTGTGTCCCATCATCTTGACTCAGGTTAAGGGCTCAGCCCTTTTCCATGATTTCCCCAAAGCCCACTCCAGAGAGTAATAAGCTTTACCAAAGATTTAGTAGAGAGTTTACATCACAGTAGTCAGACAACTTACAATAGAGTATTAGATATCCCTGGTGTTATATGTATGTCCTTACTTCCCATTGGCCCCCCGACCCGGGATTTTGTTCACCACTCATGGCGCCCCGGCGGTCCCCCACTCCTCACACCGCCTTGCCGATGCTTTCCCCCTCCCATGCTCCCCCTCTCCTCCTCCTCCTCATGTCCGTTTGGTTCCAAAACAACAGTTAGTATTTCTTGGGTTGTCGTGACTCCTAGAAAACTGCATCCTCAGGGAGTCACCTTATCCCAAAACAGTCTCCCTGCCTCCAGCAAGTCAGACTTCAACTGTCAGGGTGTCAACATTTTCATCCAAATATGATAGAATGGATGAATGATTAATTGATTAATTAAGTATAAAGGGCAAAGCACCAGAGACCCTGAACCAAGAAAAATGAGAAGCCAAAGGAAAAGAGGAGAACTTTCAAAGGAAATGTTGAAGCACCAAAAGAAAAACACACAAAATTAGGGCAAACAGAACATGGCTAGTGCAGCTCACTTGGTTCAAGTGTCATCCCGTAAACAGAAAGGTCACAGATTTGATTCCTGATCAGGGCATATGCCTGTGTGGGTTCTGTCCCTGGAAATGATTGCTGTTTCTCTCACATCGATGCTGCTTTTGCATCGATGTTTCTCCCTTCCTCTCTCCCTCTCTTTAAAATCCCCCTCTCCCTCCTTTCCCCTCTCTTTAAAATCATTAAGCATGTCCTTGGGTGAGGATTAAAAAAAAATTATGGCTAGCAGAGCTTCAACTAAAAATCCATACTATATACAGAATTGTGAACATCATTTTGCACCCAGTATTTAATCTTCACAAGAGTCATGCAAGGTGGTAGTTATCATTATCCCATTTTACAGATGAGACAAATGAACCTCAGAGAAGTTAAGAGTTTCCCAAGGTTTTACAGCTTGTTAAATGGAGAAGCTTTTCTGGGAATCTTTTAATCCCAAACCCAGAGCTCTCTCTGTTACCCCATCAGCACACAGGCTGGAGCTGCAGCTTAGAAATTTCTAAAAAGAGAGGATCTGGATGTGATTTTTATATAAGAGATAGAACAGAATTTTAAGAGAGAAATCTGTGTGTGAAAGGACTGGCTTGGGACTGATCAAATTCCTCAAGAGGGGAAGAACAATTCAAGTTCAGATTTCCAGATTTTTGTTCAAGGAGTATAATACTAAAGTTTGAAAAATCATGGAAGTGAACCAGGTTGGGAGAAAAGATA